TCCACCTGTGCCTTGCTTCCTGATTTCCAACACCTTCAAGGTTATCTCTTCATCAAATGATTTCAGTGTCAGATTACCTGTCTCGATATCAAAATTGCATCGACTCGTCAGCATAAATGGTCGACAAAGAATGATATGAGTCTCTTCATCTTCCGGTATGTCCATGATTTGAAAATCAACTGGGAAAACAAGATTGTCAATTTCTACTAAAACATCTTCAGCTATTCCAAATGACGGCTTGATGGTGTGATCAACAAATTTCAATTTTGTCTCACTCACGCTTATCTTCTTAATACCGAGTTTCTTGAAAATTGACAATGGCACTAAACTCACACTAGAGCCAGAATCAACCAGAACCTTCTTGAAAGCTCTGCCTTTTATTATGCATGGTATTGCAACTGACTCCGGATCCCTCTTCTTGACAGGTATTTTTATCTCGAGCACAATTGTACATAGTTTCTCCTCCAAGGGTACCGATCCCTCTCTTGTTGATTTCTTCTTTGATAATACCTCTTTCATGAATTTCTAATACAAAGGAATTTTATCGAGTGCTTCAAAGAACGGTATATGGATTTCTAGCTTTTTGAAAATTTTGACAAATTTCTCAAAATCTTTTTCTTTTGTGTCCTTCTTTGCCACTCGAGATGGATACGACAACTTGATCGCTGGTTTAGTTTTCTCTTCAATTGGCTTCACAGGAGATACCACTTCTTCCTGTTTGTTCTTTTTCTCTCTCACTTCCAGCTCTACTTATATGATATTGTCATCAAACTTCACCTCATCTTCTTTTTCTCTATCAACTTTCCCACTCCTTATTTTGACACCATTCACATTCTCATGACTTTTCTAACTTTCTTGTGCTCGCAGTGCTACCTGTTGTGCAATCTGTCCCATTTGAACCTCCAATTTTTTTAATGCAGTTGTGGTGTTCTTGTAATTACTCCTTGTCTCTTCTTGAAATTGAGAGGTTTAGGCCGCCATCTTTTCAATAGCTACCTCCCACTATGCCTTTTGAGGAGCTTGTTGCTGTTGATTTTTCCAGGAGAAGTTCGGATGATTCTTCCACCTAGTATTGTAGGTGTTCGAATACGGATTATTATGCTTAAAGAACTTAATGTCTTCAATTTGTTGTGGAGAAGCTAAATAGTGCATCGTATTATGCAGCCCATTACAGATTTCACATACAGTATTTTGTGCTTGTTGAACTTGGGCAACTTCGTGAGTATCTAACTTCAGCTCTTTCAGCTTCTTGTCTACCTCTACAATAATTGTTTCTTCAATTTTTAATTGTCTGTTGGGCTACAACTTTAAATCAATGACTCCTTCAGACTTACTGGAAACCATGTCATATAACTCCAAATGCTCATTTGCAACCATTGCTTCGATTATCTTCTTTACACTAGTGGCTGTTGAGAAATTTGATGAGCCACCAGTTTCTGTGTCTATCAGCTACTTTGTCTTTATTCTCAGACCATTTACAAATGTTTGCATTTGATCAGTCTGGTCCAGATTATGAGTCAGGCAGGCCACTAGGAGTCTTTTGAACCTTTTATAGGTATCCCCCAACAATTCTCCCTCTTTTTGCTTGAAATTCAGTGTATCATACCTTTTTCTTATGAATACTGCGGCTGGAAAATATCCTTCAAAAAAGCAGTCTCCATTTCTTCCTAAGTTGTTATACTATCAACCGAAAGAGAAAAGAACCATTCTTTAGCATTGTCATCCAATGTAAAGGGGAACATTCTCAATTTCTTTTGTTCCTCAGTATGACTATTTATCTTCAAAGTGGTGCTCATGGTAAAAAAATCTCTGTAAATTCTTATTAGCATCTTCATTCACCATTCCCGAAAATGACCTTCTCTCAAGATGAGTGATAGTACTGGGATGTAGCTAAAAATTTCGAACATTCACCGGGTGGTTTACAATAGTGAGTCTACCAGCCTGTGCATTCCTTCCACCATAGTCACCAAGTAGTCTCTCAGGTGGGTTTTCGCCCATGTTTTTAGTTTCTGAATCTGACTCTGTCTCTTGGTGTTCTGAATCTGTGTCTTGGTACTATGAGTGATTTGAGGCAATATCTTCCTCGGAAGCCAGTCTGGCTAACGTAGCTTGTCTTCGTCTTGCGTGAAAAGTTCTTTCGATCTCTGCGTCAAAAAGAATTTTAGCTAAGATCTTACCTCACATAAAAGATTAGTGCAAATATAATAATAAATAAAAATAACTGAAAAATAAAATTTTAATTGTAGAGTAATAAAATTTCAATTGAATAACAATGAAACTCAGTATTTTGGCAGTCCCCGGCAACGACACCAAAAACTTGATCGGAAAAATAGCAATTATACTATTTTCACCGATGTAGTAATAATGGGTTTTACCCCGAATATCGATCTCGAGGACTGCGTAGGAAATACTAAGTTTTATTATTAATTCAATCAAATAAAAAAATAGTTTAGGGTTTGATTCGAAAATATCTTTGCGAAAGATTAAAGGGCTGAAAGTAAAATTTGACTTTTTTTGTTTGGTTAAAAGTTGCTAGGGTTGAGTGTATGATTTGCCATGAAATAACCTTCACACTTTGATCTTTTCAACAAGTTCATCAACCTCAATTACCGATTCTTAAGATTATCTTTCCCTAAGTCCTTAGTGAAAAACCTTTAACTTCTACCCTAATTTCAATTTCCATTCAAATTAGTGTTGAGGTTAAGCATGTAATTATCAAGAACTATTCTGGTTATCATAGGATTCCCCTAGTCCTAGGTGAAATCATCTATAATATCATTATTTAAAAAACCTTAACACGACCGTCTAACTCTAATGTGCTAATAACCGTGAAACCCTATGGTCCCAGAGGGTAAAACTATAAATGATTTTAAACAATCAAATTGATGCATAAACTTTTATGTTGAATGAAACAAAGAGATCGGTATTCTTAACATTGCAAATCAGGGACACCCCTAGCATTGGGGGGTTTAACCGCATATAATGTTCAAGGAAATTTCAATAAAAATAAAGATAGACATTACACAAATTGATTGTGAATTCTGATCTTCAATTGCTTCCGCTCATGAAAGGTCTTCTTTCTCCCAAAACTTGCATAGACTTCAATATTCTATCGTGAAGTTCTTCTCCCGTCAAAAGTCCTCTTTTCCTTCTACAAAAATAGGTTTAAGTAATCTCGTTTTTTCTAGGTGATGACAAAAGTCCAAATTAGCCTCTAGGGTTCAAAAAACACTAAAAATTCCCAAACTTAAGAATTTCAGCGCCTGAGCTGACATGGGCCGTGTCAGTGGACACGGGAACCCGTGTCAACTTTTGTGAATTTTCCTCCAAATTGTACGCTTCATCTGACTTGACACAGACTGTGTCGTGTGACACGGGCACCCGTGTCGCCTTCTGTGATCTTTCTCTTTTCCAACAATTATCCCAGCTGAAATGACACGGGTCGTGTCGTGTGACACGAGCACCTGTGTCGCCTTATGTCCTGCTTCCAACTTCATTTTCCCAGTCCTCCCCCTGACACGGCCCGTGTCAGGTGACACGGCCACTCGTGTCAGGTGACACGGTCACCCGTGTCAGGGCTCCTGAAGCACTTCTTTCTGAACTTCTGAATTTTGCACTTTTCTGCCCCGATTTGTCTTGTTTCATTCGTTTGAACCTGAAAACACTAAAACACAAAACTAAGACATAAAATGCAGTAAAGTGGAATAAAACACCATTTAATTAAAAGAAACGATGACTGAAATAAATGCATAATTCCTGTGTAAAAACCATTGATCACTCCCCATATTTCATTATTTCCAAAATGCCTATTTTACTATTTACTCTAAAAAAATTACATTTGTCAAAAAAAAATTACTATTGATCAAAGAGGGTCAAAACGAAATTTCAGGTAACCCAATTTTGGCGTATAACGGAAATACTTTGCATTACACAAACTTTCGGTTGCGAAAAACCGGAAATTTCATAATTTCCAGGTGCGATTCACCGGAAATTTCAAAATTTTCGGGACGATTTCCATAAGCCATTGCATAAACCAAAAAATTACGCAAATTTCCGAAAGGTATCATAACAACGGAAATTTCAAATTTCAGTGTAATCGAAAATTTCAGTTATGTCTGAAATTTCTGGTGTGTCTGCAGATGAAATTTTATGCATTTGCGGTCCAGAACCGACAAATACGGGTCGCTTCAATCATTAGGAAGATTTGTGTAGGAAGTGATTGTAGATTTTTTCGATACAAATATGTATGACAATTATTCTCTTTATATATTAAGTCGGTTAATTAATTTACTGTATAAATTATTCAAGTAAAAGTTAAAATTTGAGAAAAACAACTACCAGTACCACTGGAAACTTGAAATTTCTGGGTTTTTTTGCACCTTTTCGGTACATACAAGGAAGATAGTTATCGGAAATTTCAAATTTACGGTATCGAAAATTTGAAATTTTCGATTACATGCACACACACAACAAAAAATGGTAAATTAAACGAAATTTTCGATATTCTATCAAAAATTCCGGACGAAACCGTAAATTTCCAAAATTCTGGTATTTTACAGAGACTTTTCGGTAAATTTGCCACCGATGGGGAGTTGCATGTATAATTTGGAAAATGGAATGTTAATTCCTCTAAAGAAATTCTTGCTAAAAACGCAATCTATCCAACGAAAATCGTTTTAATAAGAATGGGTTTTAAATCAAATTGGTTCAAAACTTGAAATATAAATCGATTTTGAAAAAATAAACTAATTTTATAAAAACAATTTTAAAAACTAAACCGAATCATATACATATTTCACTATTTTAGATCGAACAAGTGAGATCGTTAATGCAGTTAAAATAGAGAATCATTTTCTCCGTAGTATTTGATTAAGTTTATTTATAATGGATTCTTCTAAGCAATTCTAGTCTTGAAAATGCTGTGAAAAGATGAATTTGTATTACATATTTTATATGCTATTATCTAAATCTAATCTTCAAAATGTCCTTACAATTTGTTATCAATGTACAATTCTTGTTGATCCAGGAAATGATCTAGATAACCAAAAATGCTTCAATTTCACTATCAAAATAAATAAGCCATAGCATGGAAAATGCATCAGAGCCACCACCAAGTACCTAAAAATCCAAAAATACTTATCCATCACTCATAAAATTGATTTATGCTAAACCGAAGGAACACAGTCACGCAGTCACGGATTTGTGATCATTCGATCGAGATTAGACGGTTTATATTTCAAAATCTATAAATCGTCTAATCTCCATCCAACTACCATAAATATCTTGACCGCGTGAATGCAGTATTTGCTAACCGCAGTGAATCCAGTTTCGTGAAATCGGGTACATACCATAAAGGTGCATATGAAGATGACAAATCAAGAAAAGGGTAAGGCCACCTGTGAAAAAAAAAATAAAGGTTATAAAATTAATATAAATGAAGAAAAATCATTCATGTAAAAATAAATAAAAGAATGCTAGTTTTTTACCAAACTGTAACACAAGCATGGATAATCCACTGAATAATCACAAATGTAGCTGTCCATAACACAAAATAAGCGAATCGAAAAACCGGAAATCTCTGCATGTTTAAGAACAGCTAGTTGTTAATCTCAAATTTTTGAACATGCTAAACTATAAATTGCTATATAAAACTTACCATACAATTCAATGATGTGTCACCAATGAGGAAAACAGCATTGATTGTGTGCATACAAAAAACCAACTGCAAGAATGAAAAGTGCAAATATGATTCGATGCAATTAATCTCAAATTAATTTAGCATTTTCGAGGTTAATGATACTTACAAAATCAAGACTGTAATGATTGGATGTTCTTAGTGGATATAGGATGAACCAGAATACAAAGTCAGTGAGAAACACTGCACCTGCACAAGTCTATAAAGAAAATGAGAAAATTAACTATATCAGTAGATTGCATCCTGAATTTGATGAAAAGCAACTGAAATTTGTAGGAAAACAACTTTTTCAAACAATGAAATTCAAAATGTATAACAACAGGAGAACCATCTTTGAGGGTGTGCAACATGGAATACAGACATGACCTCAAATTTTCTACTATGGTTAAATAAGATCTCATAATAGATTTGTCACGACTAAACCATGACTAAATAAGTTTCTTAGTTGTTTTGTCATGGTTGAACCGTAATTAACCTAGACTAAGTCTCCAAAAACTTAAGATAGCCTATTTTATTGGCAGAGTCGTCTTAAGTTTTATGAAGCCCTGGATAGGCTAATCAAGGTTTAAGTGTGAGAAATCAAATAGGGACTCTACTTTGTCATGTTTTAACTGCGACAAATATTTTATGAAGTTTTTTTTAACCACATTTTGAACGTGTCAAATTTTAGATTTTGCACAGTAACCTGTCTTGCACGCCCTCAAAGATACTCTTGTTTACTGGATTGAGGATTTGACCGTTGTAAATAAACTACTCTTTATCTCGATTCGCATAAAATATAGGACTATTTTAATGTACCATAACAAAATTTACCTGATAAATCATTTGAAAAATGTAACCCCATAAACCAGCAATTTTCCTGATATGAAATTCCTGATGAGGATTCTTAGTCAGTTCAGGAATATCTAAAACTCCATCAAGAGTTGGAACCATAAAAGTGCTTACTGCATCTAAAGAAGCACCATTCACTGTTCTTCCCCTAAATTCATTTTGCTTTAATAAACATCCATAAATAGAAAAACATGTTCCTAGCTGAAAGTAAAAAAATTGAGAACACAAGTCACTTATATAATATATCACATTTTCATGTTAAAAATGTTTAAAAAGTGTGAAAATTCAAAGTGTTACCCCAAAGTAAATAGTGACCAAAGTAAAGGTTAATCTGTTCAAGACAAAAAAATAAACACAGTATCAGTAAAATATTTATAAACAAAAGATTTTATTTTTACACAGGAAGTGCCGTGGTTGATCGTCTACGTTACACAATTTTAGGCAGTGTCGTGAAACATAAAAGTTATGCAAAATGTAATAAACTTACTGAGTGTAGTAGTAAAATATGCCAGGTCCATCAACAGAAACATTAGCAATGATCAAAGCCAAAAGAACAATAAAAGAAATGATTCTATAAATAAGAAGCCAAGAAGGATGAATTCCTATAAGACAAGTATTCCAAGCTTCATCTTCATATAACAATCCATCTGTATCTTGATGATTTTCGCGTCTCTCGGAAGACCTTTGTTTGTTGAATCCTTCATACTTGAATATTAAATATGATGCTAGACTCATTGAGATTAATATCCATAGTGCACAGAAGAAGAATCTCCAATTCAACCAATAACTTGATGTAGTTGTATCTGTTGTCATTGTTGGTTGCCATGTATGGCTTGGTGACCATGTTATGAAACCCATGAATAATGATGAGTTATTGAGATACTACAAAGATTACATCAATGTTAATAAATCTGAAAATTGTATGAATTTCAATAGCAAGAAAAAATAATGCATCAAGGATATTTTGAAACTATAAGGTTGCCTCATCAATTTTTTTAAGGCTATTACATTTATATTCCTTGCTTGAGATGAGCATAGCAAAAAGTATATAAAGTTGAATACTTCATTTAAATGGTTCCAAATGGAAAGAAAGGTGTGGCATATTAACTATTGACAAGTAAATTTTAGAGAGCATAGATGCTTTGCTTCATCCTTTTATGGTTATAGTTTATGTGTGTGTGTGAGAGATAGAGAGAGAGTTAAGTTGTGTGAAGAGTATAACCTCAAGGACAAGAAATATGGTGTGATAGATAAATGGTATAAGATGCCTTTTGGATTTGTGGGGTGATTAAAATCACACTTTAAAAGAAGAATAGAATATTCATAACTAAACAGGCCATCAACATAACAATATACTGATTCATTTATTTATTTCTTAATCTTATATCAATTTATAAGTTTGTATCCTTCGGTTCTCGCATGTATATAGAGTCAAATTCATACTTAACTTTTCATTAACGTTAATCATGACTTCATTATTGCTCTTTCAGTCCCTTTTTATAAACAATTTTTTAGGTAGGTCAATTTTTTTATATAGAGTCAATTTTTTAGAAATGCATTCTCTAATTTTTTTTTTGGGACCGGAACTAAAGTAGATTCACATTCTATTGCGATGGTGTGAGATTTTTGGTACAGCGGAGAGGGGACTAATCTATGAGATTATCACTCCAACGCTCATGTAAGTAAAAAAGCGAAAAATGAAGTTTTATGGGAAAAAGATTTAAATACTTGAGAAATGAATTGTTCTTTAAATAGGAGAATTGGTTAGCAATCGAACGCGTGTAATGAAGCGTGAGATGCGATCAGTCATCAAATTAATTTGGATTGTTGAGATAGGGTTTCTGAGAGAGATTAATATGTTATATGTCAAACATTTCCCTTCATCGCTATTGGACTTCCGCCTCTTCGGGCCTTATGAGCGGCCTGGAACAGTTTCCCCCCAAAATCTTGTCTCTGCTTTGCAGGGAGAGGGTTTGTGACATGTCACTTTACACAATCACGAAATTGGGGGACATGGAAGTTTTGACGGGACGTCGCCTCTTTTGAGAACAAATACATTAAATGTCTCTCTTGTAAGGCGTAACGTGATGATGGGAATGGTTGACACGTCTCTCTACTCTAGTCGCTAATGATATTCCTACTTCCTTTAGGTCACTCAAGTGCTTTTGGATAGTTTTGAGAAAATCTCTATTGTTGGTAGTGTGAAGTGATCGTATGATCCTCAGAGCTCAAATAGAGTATAAAAGGCTTCTGAAGCGTCATTTTTTCCTTCAACTATTATTGACCTGCAAAAAATAGTGTTTATGCTTTCTTATCACTCTTTTTTGGAAATGTTTTTGTTCAAGCATTGGATCAAGTTCAGGAGACTTCGTTCTTTGGTGTTGTCCTTGCATGTTCGATTGTTCTTTTCCATAAGTTTCAACATTTAAATTCTTGCTTCTGCTTTCGTTAAACTTTTTTAGGGTTTCTCGGACAGGGAGTGTTTGAGTTTACTTACTTTCTACATTGCACCTGCATATGTTTTCTGTTACAATAAATTTAATCATGATTATCGTGTCAAATTCAACCAAGAGGGTTTGTAAGGATATTTCAGGGGTCTGGAAGGATTCAGAGATATTGGAGATTGTTTCTGCTTTTGTTCGTGAAGATGTTTTCGACCAAGCAATAATTAATACGGGTCCAACGCTTGAATGGGGAGTGCTTGACATGGATGAATATAAGAGGATATGTAGTCAATACGACGGGTTTGCGATCCCTTTTAACAAATGCATGTTCTCTTTCATAAGTTATCATGTCCCCTTCAATGAATTTAAAGTTGGCATCCTAACCATTTGCTTATTTCCCTTTCACAATTGGAGCCAGTCAGTTAGGAATTTACTAAGGTTCTCTTGTACTAATGGGTATATAAAGGGGAAAAGTCAACTATGACGTTGTTCTTTCATCTTTCAAAACCCAAAACAATACCAACTACATGAATCGCTCTTGTTTTCTTTCTCTGAGGCAAAGTATCAGATATTTTGAGGCTTATTTCGAAGGTGTAAAATATTTCAAGCCCGCTTTTTCCTGGTCATTCCTCTTAACGAAAAGGCGTATGCGGAGTGAAATTGTCTCTGCCTCTTAAGGATTTTGTTTTGTTGCTTGTCATTTAGATTTTGGTTTTTTTATATCGTTATTGAGTTCTTAATCTATTTTTACGCATGCATAAATCAATTTTTTTTATTATAATCCAAAGAATATGCTTCTAATCAAGTTGTCGGAGTTTTTTAAAAACTTCACATTTGAAAAATGCTTCAAGTCATGACAAATTTGGATTCTGAAAAAACTTCACATTTTGCAACAAAAAAAATTGAGGTTTTGGAAGTGTGATACAAATCATGCACTTCTTTGCTTGAGTAAAAGTCAAAAAATATCCAAAAAATACCTTCATGTTATCATGATTCAAATCACAACATCCATGACTCAAATCACAAAAAATTTGTTCGAATCACAGATTGCCTGACTCAAATCAATCATAGATTACAACCTTTTGGAAATTGGTTTTGTGAATGTGATTCGAACCAGAGGTTTTCATGACTTGAATCATGCGACTAGAATCACATAAAGGATGACTCAAATCACATAATTATTTTTCTTGTTTCTTAGATCTTGATTCATACCACTTATTCTCTTGACTCGACTCATACTCCTTGCTTATTACTCAAATCAAATAGCATTTTTCCTCTCATTTTTGTGCTAGATCTCCAACACATATATAAACCATTTTTCTAAAAACCACAATATTGAAAAGCATACACATTTACTTTTGATTTAGAATTCACAACACACTTGTTCTCTCAACTTTCAAAATATTTTTGAATCTTGTTTAAATTTTTGCAAGCGAAATCTTTCATCTTCAACCTCTTCCGTTGTCCATATTTGATCTAACTCTCATCTTAAGGTGTGAGATATGTTAGGAGGATTGTTATTGTGATTATTGTTTCCTTTGAATAATTTTTTAGGATTTCAGATGTTTGCAAATTGTGTGTGTTGTTGTGGCTGGGGTTGATAAATCCAACATAAAAGAAGGAGGTTTTTCTCTCTATAATTACTTTGGTAAATTTGTATGGAAGGTTATAAATAAATTTGAAGTTTTTCTCATCTTCAGACAGGCCAAGACTCAAGATACTAGTAGCATCGAGTAAAGATCGTTACAGAACAAAGGCTTAGAGAAACATTCTTAGAGCTGGAAGATTTTAAGTCGAATTCGAGTAAATATTTTGCAAGGATTCACTGTCAGATATTGAGTACAAGTAAATGAGGATTTAGATCGAATATTTCTATTTTCAACATCATTTGAATCGTGATTTTACAAAATAACTTTGTAATATTTGTCAAAATCATAGTGGAAGAACAACAAAGTTTCAATGGGAGGCCATTGGAGAGTGTGGTAGGCATAGTGATGACAAATTGTTAAACCATTATACATCTGGTGTAGCATACTCTCATATATATATATATATATATATATATATATATATATATATATATATATATATATATATATATATATATATATATATATATATATATATATATATATATATATATATATATATATATATATATATATATATATATATATATATATATATGTGTGTGTGTGTGTGTGTGTGTGTGTGTGTGTGTGTGTGTGTGTGTGTGTGTGTGTGTGTGTGTGTGTGTGTGTGTGTGTGTGTGTGTGTGTGTGTGTGTGTGTGTGTGTGTGTGTGTGTGTGTGTGTGTGTGTGTGTGTGTGTGTGTGTGTGTGTGTGTGTGTGTGTTCTGGATTGGGCCCACCTTGGCCCAAAGTGCAAATAAAGGCCCAGATCCAAGCAGCTCCTCGGGGAATGCTCACAATCGGACCATCACCGAACGTGCCCGACAATAGACTACAGCTGCAGCGCCCGTCGTTTCCCTCGACGAGCAGCGTCCCGACCAGGGGAGCTCCAGCTCGAGCACCCTCCCCGTAGGGCAGATTCTGTCCACTCTAACCGTTATGGAATCCTCAAAGCTCCGAAAAGACCGCGTCTTCGTCCTTCCTCATTCCTCGCAGAGCACCATCCAGGAAGGGGACCACGTGTGGGTCCCCACTACATACGTAGAACCTGGCAGTTCCTTTATTGGGTCAGTTCTTGTCAGCCCAATAAGGGGACCTTGGCCCAGCGCTGGGGGCTATAAATACCCTTTGTTCCAAGAGGGTCAGGTATTCATCTATTACACGCCTATACACTTTTTGCCTGCCCGTTCCGTCTCTCATTTTGGCATCGGAATGTCTTGCAGGTACCCCCCCCCCCCCCCCCCCTCCCCATCTCACTCAAACCCAGTTCGAGCCAGCTGTGACGGTCCAAGTCTGATCCGGTAAGATCAGTGGCGCCGTCTGTGGGAAACTAGCTTCCCCGTCTTACAAACTCTCAAAGACCAAAGCTAAAAACCATCTTCCACCATCATGGCTGACCAAACTCGGGATGACCAGAACGTCCGTGTTGTCGATGTCAACAACAACCTCGCGGACAAGAACGGAGTCCCCGACAACCCCGGCAACCCCGGCCATAATACACTCCCCGGGGGTGTCATCCCCGGGCCCTCAGGCCACCGCGATGGAGCCACGGCCTCGTCTTCTTCAGTCCCCCCTCCACCTGAAGAAGACAATACAGCTCCCCCAAACTATTTAGCCGCCCAATTCCAGGAGGTCCTTGTCCCCGCTGGGGCAGATGCCACGACCAGAGCACTGTTCGTGGCAATCAATCAGACCAACTACCTCATCTTTGCCCAGGGGGAAAGATTGAGGGTGCTAGAGGATGACAGAATACCCCCGAGGAGACACAGGAGGCCTCTGTCCC